TTTAGCTATCAAACCTGCATGACTCATTACCACAGCATTCAGTTTACCATGAACCGTTATATTCCAGTCAATATTACACCTTTCAATATCTTTTCCAGCATTTGTTAGGACAGTGTCTGCAGAGGGCACACACACCATAGGGCAGCCATCACCCACATGAACCTCACAAAATGCCACTTCACCTGGTGTCATGCACTCTGCAAGCAGCTGTCCAACCATTTTAACTTTTCCTACACCACTTGGATCTGTATCCAAACCCGGTACAGATGAGCTCTCTTTTGATCTATTTTGCCAGTTTTCACATACCATTTCTCCCTGTATTTCAGGTGTCTTATCAGACCTGCTACATAAACCTCTTTTTGGCCCAATGACCCGGATTTCTTTATGCACATCCGTTTGAGCCCTGGTCAGGATCTCTGCTGTTCTCTGGTCCATGCTCGGCCCTTCCATCTCATGTGGTTTGTCCACTGGTGCAGTCAACACGCCCTTCACTGACAACTGATCAGCACCATCCTGGACCATAGCAGCAGAAATGCTTCCCACCTGGCTGTTAGGAGGTGAAACCTTTGACTCATTTTTCATTTCTCCAAAACTTCTCTCAAATACATTGACAGGTAGTCCAGCAGCATACCCTGGTACAACTTTTAACACCATCAACAAATTCCGAAACAAACAACTTTCTTGTTTCCCTTTGATCTGTACAGCCAGCCATTCGGTGCTCCACCTAGTGGTACTCCGCAGTACCAGACCATCCGACCGTGGAGGAGACACCCCAGTATACATTGGTTGTACATTCCAAAGTTCAAGCATCTCCTTTAATACTTTGGTTACAACCCAACCACTTGACTCTAAACCTAAGACCTTCCTGACCATATTTAGGGCACTGGGAACGCTGAGAGACTCGCCTGCTGAGACTTGATAAGTTGAAAGTTTTAAAGGGACCTCCTGCAAGCTGGAGATAACCACAGCCTGGTGCTCCACCAGAGAGCTGCCATGTGCTGGGCTCACTCTCAACATCTCAGATTCAGCATCCACAAGCTGCCCCTGATCATTCCCAGTGACAACATAATTTTGACACTCCATGCCAACATCACTTTTGTGGGTCACAGATAAAGTCTCTGCTGTATACACGCCCTTATCTATAGGCTGTTCTATAGATCCTCCTGCTGGCACAGCAGAAACAGTGTCCACCTTATTTTTTTGCATAAAAACCTCATCTATCAAAGAGATTAGCCTTTTACCCCAACTATCCCAATCCATTGTATATGTCCTCAATTCGCCAGTGCTCCTCAGCACCGATCCATCCACACAAGGAGACACATAAGAATAGACGGGCTTAGTTGCAGATCTATTGCACAAATCACTCTGGATCATGTCAGACTTAGGTAACACATGTTTTCCGACTGCAGGTTGCAATACCTCACATCCACCACTTTGCTCTGGTGGTGCTTCCTGAATTACCCACACATTTGCATTTTTGCCAGGCTGCATTAACCCGCTGTTCACCTGCACACTTTCAGTAATGTTAGACTGCACCAACACACTCCTATTACAAGGTGCAGTTCCACTCTGCTCCACCCGAGTGACATCGCAGTTGTCCAGGGCAACCTCCAGCTCCAATACACGAAGACCCCTGGAGATGTCTAAGGACACCTGTGCTGTCTTACCACCAGTTGCTATGGGAAACGACCCATCTTTTATTACCGCTTTTGCACTGCAAGAGCTCAGGGTTTTCCCAACAGCAGTACATTTCACATCAACAACATCAGCTCTTGTGGGCTGTGCTAGCCCACTACCAACCTGTGGCTGGCACACATTAGTGACATCACTTTCTTTTTGAGAACCACGCACAGGTTTTACTTTGACCCCTAACTCTCCACTGTACAAGGCACTGCACAGGGAAAAGTCACTCTCAAAAGCACATTCAGTGGCCCAACTAACTGGGTTCACTCTGACATCAGAATGGACAGTCTCATAACCAGTCCTTCTCAACCCAACAGTCCCAGCCATGGTTTTATCACACACAGTCTTACCCACCACAGTAGTAGGTGTCACCATCTTTATTTGAGTGCGTTGTCTCATAAACGCATCCTCAACTGCACTTTCCTTGGCAACTTTTCCCTTGCCCCAAGGTGAAGTAACAGACGCCCTCATAGGCTCCATAGACTCTCTGGCACCCCCCCTCTTGATGCCACTTGCCATGATCCTTGTACAACATAGCCCCCAGTACACAGACAGCCCAACTGGCCTCCTCTGTGTTGCTATGGGCCTTCACTCTTGGTCCTGGCCTCTGGTCAGCCCCTCTCCTTGCACATAGCTTGAGCTTCTCTCTGCTGGACTCTCTTTCAAGCCATGACACATTCACATTTTTCACAACAGCTACTGGTTTAACTGCAGCAGCGTTGCCATGGGTGACAACACCCCTCTCCCAGGTACGGACATCCTGCAGCTCTCTTCTTGCACTGAAGGTTGGTTTGCTTTCCTCTTTAGGTTGGTTCAATGCTGCCAGGTGCCACTTGCACCAGTCCACAGCACACTCACCCACATCTAAATTTTTCCCGGCTTGGCTGGGGCATGTGGTATATAACCCCCTAGCCACAGGACTCTATCTCTCATTTCAGCAAACATTGCCTCCTTTTTCTGGTTTGACTGCCCCATCTTTGCAGTCATGCACACAGCAGTGTGTTACACAGTTCAGCAACACCATGAAACACTGTTTCTTTAAGGCAAAATCCTTTTCTTTAGCAGGTTCTTCTCACCTGCACACACAGATAGTGCAGACTTATGCACCAAACACAGTTCATATAACAAATGAACTTACTTCAATCGCCGGGATCTCCAATTCTGCCCACTGCATCCGCCACCATATGTGAGTTCTCGCTTCAAATGGTAGAGCTTGGTTAAACGCACAGAGCAACTCGCTTATTTTTCAGGGCCTTTTTAGCCCACTTTTATTTAAATGAAAGTTCAAAACATCAGGAGTTTCCCACACAGGGGTATCTATCATCCACAAAGAAACCAAAACAAATAAGTTCAGAAATTAAGTTATGTGTAATAAAAAGAAGTGACAAAGGGAAAACATATTGAACACAATAACTAAAATATATTTAATACTTCGGAAAAAATTCTTTGTTGGAAATTACAGCTTCAAGATACCTCCTGTATGGAGAAACTAGTCACATACATTGCTCGGTTTGATTTTGGCCCATTCTTCCACACAAACAGTCATCAAATATTGAAGGTTCCGTGAGCCTCTTCTATGAACTCTTAGCTTTAGTTCTTCCGATAGATTTTCTGTTAGATTCAAGTCAGGTGATTGGCTGGCCTGTTCTAGCAGCTTTTTTTTCTTTTTTGAAACCAATTGCGTTTCCTTGGCTTTGTGTTTGGGATCATTGCCTTGCTGAAATGTCCACCCTCGTTTCATCTTCATCATTTTGGTAGATGGCAGCAGATTTTTATCAAGAATATCTTGGTACATTTTTCCATTTAACCTTCCGTCAATGATATGAAGTTTGCCAGTACCATATGCTGAAAAACAGCCACTCACTGTGATGTTTCCACTTCTAAACTTCACTGTTGGTATGGTGTTTTTGGCGTGATGTGCAGTGCCATTTGACCTCCAAACATGGTGTGTGTTATGGCATCCAAAAATTAAAATTTTGGTCTCATCTGAGGCTTGTCTAAATGCTGCGTAGCAAACATTAAACAAGCTTCAACATGCTTTTTCTTCAGCAGTGGAGTCTTGCGTGGTGAGCGTGCGTACAGGCAATGGCAGCAGTTGAGTGCATTAGTTAGTGTGTGTGTGTGTGTGTGTGTGTGTGTGTATGTGTGTATATATATATATATATATATATATATATATATATATATAGATATAGATATAGATATAATTATCAGGTAGTTTGGAAACATCAGCCAGTCGAATTGGTAAAAGCAAAGAGTCCTTTTATTTTTAAAAATAGCCATACAAATTAGCTTTCTTCAGCAAAACAAGTAAACAGTAGAAAGTTCTAGCACAACAGAGTTATGTAGCAGGCTCACTGCCAACCTCTTGATCCCACACTGGGGTAAGGGTTCCTCCTTGTTAAGGGTGCAAGACAAGCCGCAGGGGTCCAATAACCAGTGTCTCAGTTTGCCAGAGAGCTCCTTACTTGCTCACAGCATGGAAGCCTTTCTCTCCACTCTACCTCACTGACAAAGGTGCTGATTTCCCTCTGCTGCCTTTCAAGCCTCTCTTGCCCGGGACTTAGCCCCTTCAGTAGTCAAGGTTTGAAGGTTCTTCCCTCCCAAAACTCTTTGAACCTATGAAATACCCTAATGACTTATCAATCAGAGAGTACTGGAAATTGATCTGTTCCAGTATAACTTCCCCCTCAGAACGCCTAACCTTGTAACAACTATTGAGATAAAATGTCAGCCACAAAGACAATGCATTTTTAAAGCCTTCGATTGGGCATACAACTTTTTTAAAAGAAGAAATTGGCACAAGAGAGAGTACTTACTATTAATGTCATGTGCCCATTGTGCTGATGGCTGCTATTAACAGTGGTAATATTTTGGTGCTGCAGGGTCAAGATACATGTGACGGGTACTCATCAAGAGTACAGACTATGCCCACCTTCTCTGCACCCTCTCCTCCATTCATAGAAGCCTTACTTCCTCCTCTATTTACAGATAGTTTTTCAGCACAATACTGTATATGTGTATACGCACATATATAATATATGTGTATACACACATACAGTGTGCTTATATATGTATATTCCTGAACCCTCACCACACTTAAGACATTTCTGGATCTAATAAGATGTAAATTAATTGGCTATATACTATAGAAATAAACTTTATTTGCAGTAATGTAAACATTCTTGTTTGTTCTGCACACAACAATATGTTTTTAAAAGAATGTTGGTGGTTGGCAAACTGTCCCATTTATATTATGTTGTCTGCTTTTATTATGGATTGCACAAGTTATTTAATTTATTCTTTTCTTTTTGAAGCTGTATGACTTTGCCCAGCTGAGTGGGAACAGTTATTTTGTATATAATGACATTGAACATTTTAAAGATGAACCTCACGCTATTAAGATTGAGTGTGAAGAAGATACACATGTAACAGAAGAAGTATACAACAGACCTGTGTTCTTACTTCCATCCTACAGGTAACAGTTGGCATGCAGTGAAAAAGCTTGTAATTACAGACAAACCTGCTTGGCTTGCAAACAAGTCATTCTCCTACAATATTTCTTACTTACTTTTACTTTTGTAAGCCTTTCTTCCCAGCATAGTGACTAGTTGATGGTTTCTTTTATTGAACATTTATTAATTTTGAATAAAACTGAGTGTTATATCTATCCTTCTAGGTACCATCGATTACCCTTACCAGTGGATGGTGCACCCATAGAATCTCAGTTTGATGCTTTTGTAAATTTTCTCAGGGTAAGTGCCTACTATACTGTAATAATTACATTTGTGAATGCTGTGTAGACACTGTGTGTGTTAACATTTTAGTATAATTCATTCATGTGACAGCCTAGTGCATTGTATAGCGTAATGTTCTGCATAGATAGCGTTTTCTTTTGTTACATTATAATACCTTCTTAGTTTAATGCATTAATAAGGGAAATAATTCACAAAATTAGAACATGCAAAAAAAATATATTTATCAATCTATAAGTTATTTTTTCTAGACACCTATAAATCCGGCACAAAATACCCAGCATTGAATTCTCCTTTTTCAGGCCATATTCTTGATCATAACGTGGCTTTACAAACAAAAATTTCAGGCAAAAAACTATTTCAAGCAGTTCCATTTGTAAACAAATGTTGAACAGATCAATGTAACCTTCCACCATTATATAACACATTCTAAAGGTTAGTTCAAGCATGTAGACCGCATCATCATAAACAGGGCCATAAAGAATTCATAGACTCAATTCTGCCCACTTCTTAATACAATGTGTTCTGTTAAGTAGCCAGCCGCTATCACTGTTAAATAATATGTTCTGTTAAATAATATGTTCACCCTACCTGAAAAGAAAGCTAGAAGTGTGTGATTTTATTACTTCAAGTGGCCATGTTGGGTGATATGCAGATTAGATGCTGGTTTTCTTCAAGGGGTGGTATGGAAGCAGTGTGTTCATGTATTCAAGGAAAATAAAGCTATTTGCATGCCACACCAGTATAAACAAGTGACAGGTACAAATTTAAGATTTATTTGTCACTGTTAAGTTTAATGTCACATAAACTTTGCAGAAATTCAGCGCTGAACTGATCAATAGCAGGATCCCAGATAGTAGTTTCATGACAAAGGTAATAAATGTGGTTGACACAATAATGACTACTCATTTCATGACCATGTTTGGACTTGTTTTTGTTTCCATCATGATGGTGCTTTTACTACGTTTACAGACATTAAAGTCTAACTTCAGGCAAAACGTTTTATTTCATCTTGAATACAGTGGTGAAGAATTAGAACCCCTGCCATGCTTCTATTGCAGTCTGTGTCCCTACTGGAGAGAGTTTTTCTCCTACTTGCTGTTAGGACAAGATGTCAGGGGAAATCTCTTCAACAGGTACACAAGAAAAAATATATTTGTAGTAAACTGGACAAAGGTTGAAACATCTGACATTTTTTATTACTCTTTGTGCCTTCCAATCTCCTTGACAGCCTCAGTTCTAATTTCTTGTATGAATCATCACAGGGACAGAAACTGAGGAAAAATCTGCACAGTGGGATCACAAACAGAGATAAAAAAAATCAATAAAAGTTGTAACTCTTTTCCATAAAACCCAGGAAAAAAGTGTTCTCACTACGGTTAGGCTTTAAGCATTTAATAGACTTACTATTGAGTATTTTAACCACTTCCCTAACACGCTATAGCCTAATGACTGCTACAGCGTGTTTGTCCAGCTCCGGGAGGGCGTTCTATGCCCCAGCGGTGCACTGTCTGTGATTGCTGTGTCTTTTGGACACAGCTGATCACATGACGTGGTAAAAGGCCAATCACATTGGCCTTTTAACACATGATCAGCTGTGTCCAGGGGCGGACTGACCATTTGGAAACTCGGGCACTGCCCGAGGGCCCGGGGTCAGTAGGGGGCCCCATGAGATGCCCCTGGTACCTTTTTCATAGGCTTTTTTGAGTTTGGGCAAGGACACAGGGTCCCCATGATCTCCTATTGCCCGGGGGCCCCATGAGTTGTCAGTCCGCCCCTGGCTGTGTCCAATCACAGCTGACCAGCATGTAAATACATTTGTTGGTTATCAGCAGTACTTTCCTCACGATGTCACAGTGTGAGGAAAGTACTACCGATAACCGGCAACCTGAATATCAGTGCGGCCCCAATAGTGCTGCCCATCAGTGCTGCCAATCTGTGCCTGACAGTGCCACCAGTCAGTGCCCTTCAGTGCTTCCTATTATTGCAAATCAGTACCACCTATCAGTGCTGTTTATCAGTGCAGCATCATCAGTGCAGCCTCATCAATACACATCAGTGAAGGAGAAAAATTTCCGGTTTGCAAAACTGTATAATAGAAACGAGGAAAACTTTTTTTTTTCATAAATTTTGCTCTTTTTTTTCGTTTATCGTGCAAATAATGGTGATTAAATACCACCAAAAGAAAGATCTATGTGTGTGAAAAAAACAATAATTTCATATGGGTACAGTGTAACAATTGTCATTTAAACTGTGACAGCATTGAAAGCTGAAAATTGGCCTGGGCAAGAAGGTGGGTAAAATATTGAGTACTTGAAGTGAGTCTGGAATGAAGCCTTACTTTTGTGTTAACAATGGCAGAAGGTGGTGCACATCATTGCTAGATGTATGAGGTTTGACATGTTCACTATAAGCTATTCTCCCGACTTATGACATTACTCTGTTCCTCCTCGGAGGTGTTTCGCAGGATTTGTTTTCTAACCTGCATGTTTATTAAAAAGAATTTGTAAAGATAGAAGAATAAGAGTTTCCATGCCTTGTTTAAAATATGCATGTTTCAGGACTGTCATCCTGATCTTAGCTTTGCTACTTAATGGATCACACCGCTCTGGAACAACCATGCAGCCCGTGATGTCTAAAAAGTATTAATTCTTGCCTGCATGCTTGTCCCCAGCAGGTGTATTTATTTTACTAATTCTGTGTTTTTTTTTTTTTAAATGAATACAACCCCAATTTCAAAAAAAGCTGGGAAACTGTGTAAAATCTACTTACACACTGAATGTAATGATTTGCAAATCTCATAAATCCACATTTTTAGTCACAATAGAAAATATAAAACAAATGTTTAAACTGAGAAAATGTACCATTTTAAGAAAAAAATAAGTTTATTTTGAAATTTATGGCATCAACACATCTCAAATTTGGGATAGGGTCATGCTTACCATGGTATAGCATTCCCTTTTCTTTTAACAACACTCTGTAAACATCTGGAAACTGAGGAGGCAATTTGTTAAAGTTTTGGGAGTGGAATGTTGTCCCATTCTTGCCTAATTCAAGCTTCTAACTGCTCAACAGTTTTGTGTTGTCTTTGTCATATTTTCCATTTCAAGATTTGCTGAATATTTTCAATTGGTGAAAGGTTTGGACTGCAGACAGGCCAGCTAAGCACCCAGACTCTTTTACTACAAAGCCATGCTCTTACCATAGATGCATTATGCGGTTTAGCATTGTCCTGCAAGGCCTTTCCTAATAAGAGCAGTTGTCTAAATGGGAGCACATACTGCTCTAAAACCTGGGTATATCTTTCAGCATTGATGGTGCTTTTCCCAGATGTGCAAGAGGACCCATTCCATACGCACTAATACACCCCCATACCATCAGAGATGCAGGCTTTTGAACTGAGTGCTGATAAACTGGAAGGTCCCTCTCCTCTTTAGTTCAGAGGATGCCGTGCCCATGGTGGCCAAAAAGAATGTCAAATTCATCTGACGACAGAACAGTTTTCCACTTTGTAGCAGATCATTTTAAATGAGCTTTGGCCCAGAGAAGACTGAGGCATTTATGGATCATGTTAAGATATGGCTTCTGTCTTTTTCAAGATAGAGCTTTAAGTGCAAACTGTGTTCACATACAGTGATTTTTGGAGGTATTCCTGAGCCCATCCAGCGATGTCCATCACATAATCATGCCTGTTTTTGAATGCTATGCCATTTGAGTGTCTAAAGATCATGGGCATCCAGTATTGTGACTGTATTTACTCTGTGATCTGCTGTGTCATTGGATACAGCTGATCACTTGGTAAAAGGCCACTGTGATTGGTAGGACACAGTGATCACGGAGATCGCTGGATGCGTGTTGCTGGGGGCACGCAGGAGAGCACGTTCTGGGAGGACATCATATGACGCCCTCCCAGAACTGGATAACCACCCTGTGGCTATCATTTGGCTATAGTGCAGTTACCAAGTGGTTAATAAATCAATACTCTATAACTTCCCACAGAAAAGTCAAACTTCCACCCTTGAAAGTGCAAATAACATAAACCTTTTCAATAATCTATATATACCCTCTCCCGCAGTCTCATACTGCTCATAAAATGTCCATAACACAGTCCATAGTCCAAAATCAAAAATCCAAAAGAAATAAAAATAAAAAAATAAACAAAAAACAAAAACACAAAACAATACTCCAAATGTGTAAATGTCCAAATCTTCCCGTTCAATCCACAGGCACCTCAAAAAATAAAATAAATATAGTGCATTATCTTTGATACAAAATTACTGTAAGTGATAACATGCAATCACACTAGTGATATAGATCATACATGTGAAGTGAAGGTGAATACACCATATCACTAGTGGTCCAGTGAAACAACCACTGCAACCGTGAAATATCACGCTGTGTGTTTTTTGTGATATTTCACGGTTGCAGTGGTTGTTTCACTGGACCACTAGTGATATGGTGTATTCACCTTCACTTCACATGTATGATCTATATCACTAGTGTGACTGCATGTTATCACTTACAGTAATTTTGTATCAAAGATAATGCACTATATTTATTTTATTTTTTGAGGTGCCTGTGGATTGAACGGGAAGATTTGGACATTTACACATTTGGAGTATTGTTTTGTGTTTTTGTTTTTTGTTTATTTTATTTTTATTTCTTTTGGATTTTTGATTTTGGACTATGGACTGTGTTATGGGCATTTTATGAGCAGTATGAGACTGCGGGAGAGGGTATATATAGATTATTGAAAAGGTTTATGTTACCAAGTGGTTAAAATGGTACATTTTCTTAGTTTAAACATTTGATATGTTTTCTATTTTCTATTGTGAATAAATTATAGATTTATGAGATTGGTAAATCATTGCATTCTGTTTTATGTAGATTTTACAGTGTTCCATTTTTTTGGAATTGAGGTTGTAAACGTGCTGTATTTGTTTATATAATTCTTAAGATAAACAAATGAAAGCGGTGCTTTCATTTCATTCTAGTATATAGCATAACACTAAAGATCAGTAAAGGGGTGAAAGTAAACCATTAGAAAAAAAGTTCAATAGATATATTAAAGAAAAAATCCTGTTGCGCTGCCAAACCTAATATGATAAAGAATGGCTACAAACACAAAACTGCATTCCCACAACACTAAAAAAAAAAAAAAAAAATTAATTGATAGACAGTGCTGCGCTACTCACTAAACTTAACCATAAAGCATAAAGTAAACACCTCACAGAGCCCTTAACTAAGGTGATATAAGTGCATACCTAGAGAATAACCAAACACAAGTGAATGAAAATTTCCAAACAAACTAGATGCCCTGCTAGGCAATACCAAATATGAACAAATCAATAAGTGAAATTTCAACACATATGGAAATAGACAATCTCAGTGATATATATCAAGGGATAAAAAAAAAATATATATATATATATTGTGGGAACTCGCATCAAATGGTAGAGCTTTTTTAAAGCACACAGCAACTCGCTTCTTCTTGTTAAGGGCCTTTTTTTGCCCAATTTTATTTAAAAGAAAGTTTCAGAACATAAGTTTCCCACGCAGGGGTATCCACCATCAAAACAAATGCAACAAATATTCCGCCTCCTGGCTTGTACACAGTTTTATGTCCGTCTCCTGCAGACTCCAAAAATTTCCAAAAATGGCTTTTTCGCACACAGCTAGCCACTAGCACACAGCTACTCTGGCTGGCTTCCACCTCTCCTAGGTGAAGCCCACCTGACTCCAAGGCAGTGACCTCCTGTCTGCCGGGGTGGAGCCCAGAATCATGGTTTGGCCTCTACAAAAAGGCCTGCACACAACCGCGCAATCAGTGTGCTGGCTGCTCTCAAAACCTGGACCCAGGATTGAAGATTTCATCCCTCCCAAATCTCTTAGAAATCTCCAGGCCACAGGTCCCAAAACAGGCTTTACAAACCAAAGAGGAAACTGATAAACCAGTGTCCTCTGCATTACGAGAACTGCCTGGAGCCCCTCAACCTGTATAGTTGAGAATCCTGGGTCACCACTGTGATTTCCACCAGGATACCGCACTGCCACAATATATATATAAATAAAAAAACAAAGCACACAAAATAAGAAGAAAGTGTTGAATAATAAACACCCAGCTGAGCCCTCAACCCAGTGACAGCCTGTGAATAAATGTAGTAAAAATCAACATTTGTACTGCAGAAAAATCTTCAAATCAGCATATATTTCACACTTGACTTGAACAGTGTTAACCCTTAAAAATCCTTCACCAGCTTGAGTGCATGCTCATCTCCCATTTTGACCTATAGGGAATATAGGTCAAATGCACTTTAATATCAACCCAAAATCCAAACAGCTCTCCTCTGTAAGCGTACTTTACTGGCTACTTCTCCAATTCCTCATCAGAAATCCATGTTCAAAAAAACATCAAAGGACATATCATAGTGTAATACGTCCATGTTTAATGTATAAAATTATGTCACTGCACTTCCTTCCTACGCGTTACATCACGAATCACATGGCTTCCTCAGGGATAGCTATCCAGTAAAAAAAAAATTAAAAATCAAATTTCATCATAAATTTAGGCCAAAATGTTTTCTGCTACATGTCTTTGCTAAAAAAAAAAAAAAATCCCAATACATGTTATAGCGTCTACAAATGGCGGTATATATACTGAAAATTGTTTTTTTTTTATATACTAGTAATGACGGCGATCAGCGACCTCTAGCGTACCGCTAGAAATCGCTGATCGCCGTCATTACTAGTATATAAAAAAAAAAAAAACAATTTCCAGTATATATACTGCCATTTGTGGCGGACATTCTGACACTGGGGGGGGGGGGGGAACTGACTAATTGTCACTAACAACCCCAGTGATGCTAATACAGTGATCAGTGCTAATAAAAAGCACTGACACTGCACTAATGACACTGAACAGGAAGGGGTTAACATCTGGGGCGATCAAAGGGTTAACTGTGTGCTGTTTTACTGTGTGCGTGTTTCACTGTGTAACCACGCTGCTTTGTATTGCTCTGCTATGCAATACAAAGCAGCATGCTGGAGCTGACAGGGGAGAGATCTGTATTGTTTATATACAGACCTCTCCCCCCGTCAGTGTTCCTCTGCAATTGCTGGGTGCCAGCAGGGAATATCTGGCCGGGACTCGGTGATTGACAGTTGAAGCCGCTGATGGCGGAGCGGGAAGGGGACGCACGCACCCCCTACCCATAAATACAAAATCACGTATATATACATTATTTTTCACAGCCCTGCCACCCTGCAGCAGTAGTTCTGCTATAAGTTGGTCGAGAAGCAGTTAAAGATATAGGCTATTTGGTTAAAGTAAAAATTTATTGAACTTACAATATACATGCTGTTTTGTATGTATCAACTATTCAGGGTATTTTAAATAGAACATTATTTCTTTGCATAACTGACAGAAAAGTGTGCAACAAAATATTTTTATGAATATATTGCATTCTAGCTTAACTTCAACTAATATGTTTATGCATTTTAGGAAAACCCATGTCTCTTGCTGCTTCGTGATGCCAGCTGCCCTCCACCAGCTTTGCTTTTCAGTTGCCAGACAGGAGTTGGCAGAACAAACTTAGCCATGATTCTGGGGACATTAGTTCTCTATCACCGTAAAGGAGCAGCTGGAGAACAGATGTGAGTCCTTCATCTTTAATTTCCCATGTTTATAGGAAAGTGCTGGCTTCATGCTTTTTTTTTTTTACTTCGTGTGGATTTCACCAGAACTAAATGTGATGCCATTGTTCATTCTCTTACCTAGTAAGATTATATTTAAGCTGACTATCATCAAAGTTATCTTCTATATTTGTGAGGAGGCCAAATCACAAAAGTTTAATGCATGTCATATTTTCATCCATGTGCATTATATCTTACCTTTTATAATAATATATTTTTTTTCCTTCCACTAAAGGGTTTATTGCATGGATCAGCTAAATTTCTCACATGTACGTTTGACAGTATATTACCTCACATACTCTTATTCTTTAAAATATCTCTGCCTGGTGCTTATTCTCTCTGTGAGTGGCTTAAAGGCTATGCCTTGTAAAAAAAAATTATACAGGCATACCTCGGTTTACGAATTTAATTTGTTCTGTTCGACTTTTCATATAGCGAATAATTCGTAAACCAAAACTCAGTTTCCCATAGGAATGCATTGAAAACCAATTAATCCGTTCTAGAGGTCAGAAAAAAGTAAACGCTAAAATATTGCATGAGTTATTTTATCAAGTCATGTGGTATTTTAGTAGTGACAACCATGTGTTAATGTTTCAGCTGTCATTGGGGTTCCCCACTGACAGCTGAATGTAAAAGAATTGCCGGCAATTAAAAAAATTATTTAAAAAATGGCGTGGGGTCCCCCATCCCATCCATACCAAGCCCTTGGGGTCTGGTATGGAGTATGAGGGGAACTCCCACACCAAAATTTAAAAAAAAATGGTGTGGGGGTCCCCTTCAAAATCCATACCAGAGGCCCAGGCCCCCCCCGCCCAAAGCACCTTGTCCCCATGTTGATGGAGACAAGGGCCTCTTCTCCACAACCCTTGCCGGTGGTTGTGGGGGTCTGCGAGCAGAGGGCCCCCAGATCCCGGTCCCCCCATGTGAATGATTATGGGGTGCATGGTCCCGCTACTGATTCACAAAAAACAAAAAGTGTAGTGTGAAAAAAGACAGGACATGGTCTTTGACAATTCCTTTATTAAAAGAAAAATCTAAAAGAATGTCCCCCTGCAGTAGATCCAACGTCAATCAGGATGTCCGCATCTGACCCAAAAAAAGAATAAAAAAGTAAAGGCTCCACTTCCAACGATGGCTCTTCCGTATGCCTGCTGCGGTGGTTTGACAGTTCTTAAATATGGAAGGGGTGGGGCCACCCGGGGCAATCACCCGAGTGACCCCGTCCCATGTGATCATTGATATCACATGGGGTGAGGTCACATGCATGATGTCCCTGGGTGGCCCCGCCCCTTACTTATTTAAGAACTGTCAAACCGCAGAAGCAGGCATACGGCGGGAGCCATCGTCGGAAGTGGAGCATTTTTTTAAAAAATTTTTTTGGGTCGGTGGCAGATATCGTGATTGACGTTCAACCTACTGTGGGGGGCATTCTTTTAGTTTTTTCTTTTCATAAAGAACTTGTCAAAGACAATGTCTTGTCTTTTTTCACACCACACTTTTTTTTTTTTGTGAATCCGTAGTGGGACCATGTACCCCATATTCATTCACATAAGGGGGGGGGGCGTGATCTGGGGGTTTCCAGATTCCGATAAGCCCCCTGCCCGCAGACCCCCATAACCACCTGCCAGGGTTGTGGGGAAGAGGCCCTTGTCCCCATCAACATGGGGACAAGGTGCTTTGAGGGGGGAGCCCCCCCTGCCCGACAGCACTCCCCCATGTTGAGGGCATGTGGCCTGGTATGGTTTCCTGACCTGCCGGGCTGCATGATTGGATAAGGGTCTGGTATAGATTTTGGGGGGGTCCCCCACGCCATTTGTGTTTTCGTTTTGGCGTGGGAGTTCCCCTCAAAATCCATACCAGACCCGAATGGCTTGGTATGGATGGGAGGGGGGGACTTCACTCCGTTTTTTTTATTTATTGTGGTGCCGGTTTTTAAATGTAATTTCACTATAGCTCAGAGATTCAGCTGTCCTTTTCCCCCCAGCTCAAAGAGAAAGTTTCCTTTTAGTTTATTTCCCCGAGTTAAAAAGAAACAATGTTTCCTTTTGGTTTCTTAAAAGAAGCAAAGTTTCCTTTAGCTCCGGGGAAAGTGACAACTAAATCTATGAGCTATAGTGAAGAAAAAAAAAGCCAGCAATTGCATTTAAAAATTGGCACCGACATACTCTTTGTATTGCTAGAATTTTTTTTTTAAAAAATTCATAAACCAAGACATTATTTTCAAAGGATTTTCATTCCTAAACCGAAAATTACGTTAACCAAGGTACACCTGTATATTGATCCCACCTTTATGCAAACTTAGTAATGAGAACTGGACAGTTTAGTGAATTGATCCCATTACTTTATCCAGAAGATGGACTATATTCGTTCAAACTTTTAGACGTTGCACAAGGGCTTTAACATTTTTTCCTGGCATGTTTTTTATATCCTATGCAAAATGTATGTGCTTTCTCTGTATGCCTTTTTAAGGGCTTAGACAAATTTTGTGATGCTTGACCTGGTCAGTTTTGTTCTTGGGGATTTTATAAAATCACTCAGATGGCTGCTGTTAGCATCAAGCTACACAGAATACCTGCACCAATTGCTTCTGCTCCCTCTGTGATATGTGGTGATGGCAGTGTCTGCCAGCGGTACTTATCACCACCTTTCTCTCCACTCCATTCACATTTACAGGATTCTGCCTAGGAGAAATTAGCTGTTGACAGACTCACTAGCCACTCTCACTGCCTGAAGGTGATCGTGCATGCAAAAACAATTGTCCTTAAAGTTCTGTGAGTGGTGTAAGACATGATCCAGTTGCTGAAAGATCTTGGTTTCACCTGAAACATACATTGAGATCTGTGGTATGTTGCTTTGTCTGCATTGATGTGGGGCACTGTAATCTGTTTGCAAACACTCTACAAAATAGCATGAACGATCACCCAATGGAGAAAGGGGTATGCCCTGCTCTTTAGGCTACTTTTCTCAAAGTAGTCAAACTCCATCACTGATGACGTTTTTATAGCTGTGAGGAAGGCTTTTGACGAGTGTTAAAAAAAAAACTACCCAAACAATAAGGATCTCCTGCTGAGGCACTTGTATGTTTCTGGTAATGTGACAGAACTAGTGTAAACTGACAGGTGCACCAACAAAGAGTCATAATCTCCCAACAAGCAAAGTTTCAGACTTGTGTTTTTTCCACTTTATATATCTGCTGGAGTAGGGAATAAATACCATATATTGAATAAGTAGCAGTAAAGTAAATCAACCAATTTAAAGCATTTGTATAGCTGTGTTGTGGAACCATTCTATATTCCTAAACGTATCTGTACATTTTAGCATATTAGCAATATTTAACAATATTATCTTAAAACAGAATATGCAAATTAATATAAATGCCTGTAAACACTGGGAAATGCTAGGTATAACATCAGTGAAATGTTGCTGAAGCATGCATCATGTTCCTATACTAAATATGCTACATCTGGTAATCACATAGATGCAACACATTTTTCAGATTCCTTTTGAATTTGACAAAATGAAAATCAGTTATTTACACAGTGAAGCTTGCAGACAGGAGCTTCTTACTATGTTACTATGGCAATAAGTCTTCTAGAAGCTTAAGAATATTTGTTGTGAGTGTAATTTGGCAAGAAAAGTCATTTGGCTTCCTTCTAATTAAATCTGAGTAAGAGCTGTTTCCTAATTAATTGGTCTGCCTGTATATTTACTAAGGATTTTTTTTTTCTAGTGTCTTGAAATGCTTTTTGTTATAATGCAAAAAATATACTGTTGCAGATTTACTGTGTTACCTTTAGTTTCCTAAACATATACAAATATCAAATGACATATAGAAAAAAAATTCAACAACTTTGCTACAAATCAAATCAATGCAAAACAGAAACAGATTTATTTTATAACCATTTTCTATAAGAAAGTATTTTTGATTCAGTAATTCATTTCCCTGTTGCTGAAACATAGTTTTATGCCAAAATGAAAACCTGACCACTTATATGGTACAGAAGATGGTCACCACCTTAGATCTGACGTAAATCTTCCTAAAGTTTTACAGTGTGCTGTCCAAGGTTGCCGATGCAGAGAATACATACTGTACACATGTCCAGCAGATTAAGGAATCTACCTAATGCAAATCAAGTGGTACTATCTGTTGTGTTACATTGATGTAGAAAAATTAAGATTGCCAAATGCTTATAATCAAACAATTGACCCTACTGACTAATCTTTATTTACTATAACTTCTGTTACAGCGCTACACAAAGCACAAATGATGTACCAAAGGAACGTTTTCAGGTCATACAGAACTTCATCAGTATGATACCAGATGGAGAGAAAATCATTGCAGAGGTAAAGTTCGGTTTGTAATGGTTAATGTAATTATATTACACCATTGATGACCTATACTACCCACAGGCAAGTCATCTACTACAGTGGTTTTCAACTACCAGGCCATGGCCAGCTTCTGGAACACAACTTCCCTCCTACTGGGCCTCAATTTCCTGTATGTCAGACCTCATAAGGTGTAGGAAAACACAATGCCTCTAATACCAGTCTGCAGCCACTAGATGGTGCTGTCCCCACTAATGAAGAGCTTTTCTATACTAGTACACTCAAGGTACAGTTATTGGGTTTGTTTTGGTATCTGCTGGTGGATGTGAAGGATGACAACTGCCGAGGAAAGATAACCTTACGGGCTCACACTTGGATGCTTGATGCTGGTTATGGAGCCATGACTCTCTGTGACTTGTAGTGGGCAGTATGCATAAACATTGCAGCTGCTTCACTCACCCCCGGAGATGTGAGGGGTGCTGCATGGGAGCAGAGGGTGGAGTGAAAGAGACTGTGGGAGATAGACTTCCA